GATGTGACATGAACTAGTATGTGTTTCCTGCATCTATTGTAAGATTGGAGGGGGCCTATGGGTTAGTATATTGGATCAGCATAGGCTGCGCCACATTTGGGGGGAAGTTTCCAAAATCAGTGGGGTCATGGAAATGTTGGTTATGGTGGCTGAAGCTTACGGTTGAGATGGGCCGAGGCTGTTGAAGAAATGGAGGAAATATTAAAGGGTTTGCTCGGTTTCGGTATGTAAGGCAGGATAATGACTGTATTACCTTGAAGGGATGATGAGAGTAATCCTAATTGGTGTACTGGCATGATAGAAGGGATGTGTCTGCTTGGCAAGGAAATGATGTTGATCACATTGTTGATAATCTATTGCCTTCTTCAAAACAAAGATGGAGCGTCCCCTGTTATTTTTACTTTAATTTATTTTCCGTGGTAAAAAATTGCAAGGGTCACACATATCATCACAAATAGTTTAAACAAGTGCATCAAATGACAGCGTGAGAAGATTGAAAAAGCGGCTGGAACATTCCAAAGAGTGTCACGGTCTTGGGCCGCGGTAAAGGGGGGGAGGGGGGAGACTTAAAATCAATAGCAAGAAACATATAGTTACATGCCTAGACCAGGTCGCCAGTCTACGACAACTCAACCGGTTTTTACTTAACATAGGAATGGTTATAACTGCTGCTTGCGGTGGCTATCCCGATAGTCCTTTGCAGATCCTGGTTACCTATTCGTCATGCAGATCGAGTCGAACAATCAATCTTCTATCACACAATGTCCATGGAGTTAGAGGTCACGCTGTGGAGATCAAGTTTGCCTTTATTTTTGTTCTATGTCTCTGTTCGTGTGAACAGATATGGTAGAAGCCAGGTTGTTAGACTGTTAGGCTGCCAGGGAGGAAGGTCGGTCTGGGGAATGTTTGCTTTCTGCGTCCTGGTTGGATGGTGATTGATCAAAGACCGTGTTGACAAGGCACCTAGTTACCCCTCCATGCATATTCTCAAGCTGTGTGCTATTTGTAGTTAACAGAGAGAGTTGTTCTTTCGATACTGCTGTAGGACAAAGCGCTTGGTAGGAGTGGATAAGTTATGCCGACTTTGTCTATTGCCATAGTTACCCAAAATACTCCGCGGCCAGTATGTGAAGGGGAATACCACCAGTTTTGCATACTTGGCTGAACAAGCAATGGCGGAGAAAAGGTTTCGATCCGGCCATTGGGTGGGTGGAAGAAGCCCATAAGGAGGGCACCATGGTCCGAAGCAATAGCTCTTTAAAAGAAAACCATTCCCCCCAACCAACAGTGAATATTCCAAATACTGAGAAGCAGAGAACAGAATAATATCATAACAATGCCATATTTTCAATCAAGTTCTTTTACACTGTATTTTCTGATATCATAGTTTATCATCAATTTTGGCTCACAAAACCAACACATCAGTCTCGGTACGGATTCAGGTTGTCACAGAGGATGATAATGAACAGTTTATTGTGACAAGTAGGTACCCCAAATTTTCCCGTGAAAAATACCAAAAAGCAAAGCGATTCAATTGCGCTATCCATCCGGCTGCTGAAAAGTTATAAGGCAGCCAATTATATATATATATATGTGTGTGTGTGTGTGTGTGTGTGTGTGTGTGTGTGTGTGTGTGTGTGTGTGTATAACCTAATGGGCCGGGGTTAGAAAGAGGATGAAGAAGAGGTGTTTAGCCCAGCACTTGATCTAAAATTTGCCGTGCATGAGGTCCTGGGAAGCCAGAATTTAATCTCCAGCTCAACACAGTTGTTGTTGGATCTGCTGTTTTTGCTTTAATAACTATCTGCCCCAAAATCGTTTGCGAGAAGCTTAACTTTAATAATCAGAGAGAATTCCTATCGGCGGACTTGCTGGATGTCTAATATTTCCTAGAGGGCAGCTAGAAGACAGACGAACCCGTGGTTAGGGATGTTGAAATATTTACCTACCGACCTTCTCGAGGCCACAACCTGTGAGGAATTAACTAGCCCGTTGTTCAGCATTATTTATGCGCTTCGTCTGGAGGTTTCTTGGTAGTTTGGTAGGAAGGGATTGGAGCGAATGCCGAATGTGAAGCCTATTATTAGATTAACGAGATATTTCCTCAATCTGAACCAGCGAATCCAGATCGGCCCGCACCCAAAGCTGACAAAAGCGGAACAAGCATCTTTTAATTAACTAATTAGTAGTTATCAGTGTGGGTTGTTCCAGTCATTCACTAACAGTTCCACCGCCACAGCTGATCTGTTAGTTGTTAGCCTCCTGCCCTCGAATCTGGCTGTCAGTTGCAGTTAGTTATAGTTAAGTTAGTTAGGTTAGTTAGTTAATAGTAGGCTGCTGTGTCATCAACCTCCACCAACGTCTGGCTCCCACCCTTAGTTACCAGTAACACAATAGCCACCACCACCACCACCTTCAGTTCTTCCACCTCATATTCTTTTCCTCTTTCCCCTCTCCCGTATCTCTTGTCGTAATAATTGCTTCAATCCCTCGTCCTCATCTTGCTTTTCTTTCCCTCTTTCGTCCTTGTCGATACCTGCGGCTTCACCGTCATCCAGTGTTGGACAACGTCCGTCGACGTCACCCAACCTATCTTTTAATCAAGAATCCCTCCTCCACATCTCACTTTACTACCTTGTCAACTCCTTTCCACAGCTATTCACCCAGCTGCTAGGCCAATTGCACCATGTCGAACTCGTTGACTGAAGCTGCAGACAGGCATAGTGCAGCGTAAGTATTTTCCTGCCACACTGAGGTTGGCCGTACCCTCCTCAAAAATTGAGTCCAATCTTGAATGGAAACAAAAGCAAGGTCAAGCAACAGCAATGCCTTGAGCCAGATCTCATTGGCAATTATGCACTATATCGATCTATGCGCAACTAAATTATCTCCTCTCTATACCATGGCCTTTTTGCCCATGGCTCTATTTGGTAAAATTTCGCGTTGAAGTTTGCTTATATTTTGTTCTGCCAATTAGTACAGTCGAATTGAAAGATGATACAGTCATTGTCGTTCTTGGAGCTTCAGGGGACCTGGCCAAAAAGAAAACTGTGAGTCTTAATACTCTCCCCGGCTCCCACAGCGTTCCCCCATACTGATGATACCACAGTTCCCCGCGCTGTTCGGATTGGTAAGCCTATTCGCCCTCAATACTCGTTGAAATATGGAATATTCATACCCATGAATTAACCGCCGTTTACAGTACCGCAATAAATTCCTTCCCAAAGATATCAAGATCATCGGATACGCACGAACAAAAATGGACCATGCCGAATTCATTCGAAGGGTGCGGTCATATATCAAGATCACCACGCCGGATATTGAGAATCAGCTTACCGGATTCTGCAATATTTGCACGTACGTCTCAGGGCAGTATGATCAAGACGATTCTTTCGTAACCTTGAACAAGCACCTCGAGGATCTCGAGAAGGGGAAAAAAGAACAGAACAGAATCTTTTACATGGCACTTCCACCCAGTGTTTTTATTACCGTCTCTCAACATCTGAAGAAGAATTGCTATCCGGAGAATGGTATTGCAAGAATCATTGTGCGTCATTTTTCTGTTCAGGTTGAGGGTATATTACGAGGAACAGCACTAACACGAACCTTGCGATGTGTAGGTAGAGAAGCCGTTTGGAAAAGATCTCGGAAGCTCGCGAGAGTTACAAAGAGCACTGGAACCCGACTGGAAAGAGGAGGAAATATTCCGTATCGATCATTATCTTGGAAAAGAAATGGTGAAGAATATTTTGATTCTGCGATTTGGGAACGAGTTTTTCGGGGCTACCTGGAATCGCCATCATATTGATAACGTTCAGGTATGGTGCGCTTCTATGACATAACATATTTGAAGAGCAGCGTTATTAATGCATATCAGATCACATTTAAAGAGCCATTCGGTACGGAAGGCAGAGGGGGTTACTTCGACGAATTTGGCATCATCCGCGACGTTATGCAGAACCGTTAGTTCACGCGACCACTGCCATGTTTACTGTGAATAGGGCCGCTAATATGGGGACTCTAGACCTTCTTCAAGTCTTAACACTTCTAGCAATGGAAAGACCCATTTCATTTTCCGCGGAAGATATTCGGGACGAGAAAGTGCGCGTCTTGCGTGGAATTGATGCGATCGAGCCCAAGAACGTCATCATTGGTCAATACGGGAAATCGCTGGATGGAAGCAAACCCGCTTATAAGGAAGACGACACAGTCCCGAGAGATTCAAGATGTGCGACATTTTGTGCCATGGTAGCATACATAAAAAATGAGAGGTGGGACGGTGTACCATTTATTCTGAAAGCAGGCAAAGGCTAGTTTTATTGGAGAATAAATCCCGGCGCACACCGTTTACTGATTGCTATTTTTAAACAGCGCTGAACGAACAAAAGACGGAGATCCGTATACAATTCCGTGACGTCACCTCAGGTATCTTCAAAGACATTCCGCGAAACGAACTCGTAATCCGCGTACAACCCAACGAGTCAGTATACATAAAGATGAATTCGAAGCTCCCCGGTCTTTCCATGCAGACCGTCGTCACAGAGCTCGATCTCACTTATCGACGAAGATTCTCAGATCTGAAGATCCCTGAAGCATACGAATCACTCATTCTAGACGCCCTCAAGGGAGATCACTCAAATTTTGTCCGTGATGACGAATTGGACGCCAGCTGGAGAATCTTTACCCCACTTCTGCACTATCTAGATGAGAACACAGAGATTACACCAATGGAATACCCTTACGGTTAGCTAAATCTCACCCTTCCACTCCCCAAAGAATAAAAAAAAAGTTTCTTTTTCTTTTAGACATAGCCGCTAACCCGCTCTCGTCCAGGCTCACGTGGCCCATCTGTCCTCGATGACTTTACATCATCGTTTGGCTACAAATTCAGTGACGCTGCCGGATACCAGTGGCCCCTCACCACCACTCCAAACCGCTTGTGACAATCAAAGCTGGCGTGAAGGTTGAGGTTTTTATATTCTCTTGAAAAAGCAACATATTTGTCCGCATATACACAACGACTTTCTAGCCCGTAGCCAGTTTTCCAAAACAAATTTCGAGTTCGCTACCCAACTAGCGAGTTCCCCCCGTGTCATAACGACGAAATGTTTTTTGTTTTCATTGAAGGAGCAGGGAGAGATAAATTCAACCTTCTTAACGCCCTATTTCATGTTATTTTAATAAGAAAAGGAAAAAAAGGTAGGAGAGTCCAGACACTTTCACAAGGGATGAAGGAATATGCGGGAGGGAAGGAGGGAGCTTTCGTAACTCGGAGAAGGGTATGGGACACGGAGATCCACGGCATGTTCCTTGGATGTGAGTTGAGTGGGGGATAGGTTTTCCGCCTCCATTGTGCCTTCGTTTTGTCTTTTATGGATGGGAAAATATGGAAATGGGGAGAAAGGGATGTGATGACATCACAACAAGCGAGATGGAAACTTTTGTTTGAATTTATGGTGTTCTTTTCATTTCTACTAATATTGCTTTTTCCATCACTCTACACCACCTAACTCCTTGTGGATTTTTGTTTCTTCTTTCCTGGGCATTTAATTTTTCTTAACAAAAAGTCTTTTTCCCTTCCTGTGCAATTCTTGCCTTGCCCATATCCCCCATATCCTTCATATAGAGCCTTAATTCTGCAAACCCCTTTTTTTTCATCTCCCCAGTCGCGGTCTTGGCTTTTATTTTATTTTATATTTTTTTTTAGCTCAACCCTTTTTGATTTTGTCTTTCTGTTTGCCAAAACCCCAGTGTTCTTCTTTGAGGGTTCAAAGAGTTTTCAGCCATGAACGTGCAGCCATTCACACCGCTCACCGCTCACAGTAATGCCGATGTTCTTAGAAGCGAAAATTTTTGTGGGAAAAAAGGGAATATACATATAAAGTAATATATATATTCCGATTTTTTTTCTTCCATTCTCCTCCCCTTCCCCCCCTCCCCTACTCATCAATGTCAAGGAATCAGGCAGGATCTTGAGGTTAATGCAGTGGAAAGGATTAAGGGCTGCTGTTTTCCGAATGATAAAGCAAAGTTACGCAGGCATGTGACGAGGGAATAGATTAGAATTTCAGAAATTAGATTTTTTGGGTTTTGTTAAGCTGATACGGAAAATACTTTGGCTTGAGGAGAGGTAGTCAGGTAGATTGAAAAATTGCGGATTGGAAAATTGTATATATATTTACCTGGGCGAAGTAGATAGTCCAGCCCAAGAATGCAGTTGACGTGTGATGGCAGGCGATGAACCCACAAATCAAGGTAATAAGTAACCTTGGACCTTTGCAAGAGTGGAGGTTTTGGTTCTTCCTCTGATTTTTAGAATCCGCCTGAGATTTTTCACCCATATGTGCATTGCGGAAGGGGATTGCATCCATATCTTCTGGTAGAAGCCGGGCCAATTCATCCACGCATCCATGTATGTATGGAGTCAAGTCCATGCACCTACACTACAAGTTGGATGTGGCTACAGGCTTAAGAGGGACAAAAGTTAGGTTTTACCTAACGAGTGATTGAGAAATAACATTTCGTACAAACCTCATTGCTACCAGGGAGCTAGGGAATTTATATGACTTCCCTATTCTATGCCTGTTTTGAGAGACGTTCCAGATGCTGCTAACTTTTTTAGGCGGATATGAAACCTGAGATAAGTTTGATTAGCTAGACGTGTAATTAAAAGTTACGCATACGGTTCTTTTTTCTTTCGAGGGAAGTTGATCATCAATCGGATCAGAACAACAGAAAACGCTTCCTATGAATAGATGGGCAGCGATTGCATGTGCGCGTACCGGACAGCCGGGGTTTGCAGGTCATGCATAGTCTGTACTTACGACGGAATGAACAGAATTCCTCATGAAGGGTCTGGAAATGCAAGAGGGGCTTTGGTATTCGCGAGACACTCAGTAAAATCATTCAGCTAACCGTACAATTTCCGTTTGTTTTCTCTGTTCTTTACTTCATTCATTTGGATCTAGCTCGGTTGCAGCCTTAAATGATGACACTCGGAAAACCGAGCTGAACACTGCAAGAATGTCAACTCTTCAAGGTCACTGGGATGTCCGTAGCATTCTCTGTGAAACGCGTCGCATAAATCCGAGCTTAGACATAAGAATCTTCGCTTCATCGTAGGTTAGTTAGTTTAGTTAAGATGGATCAGGACTAGTTGTTGAAGGTAGACTATCTTTTCAAGGTAGCATTGACAAAAATAGGCGAGACGGATCAAGCTTGCAACCGAGCATCCTCGCGCATAAAATAATATGGGATGCTGGGCTGTGGCCGTCTAATTGGACAGTTGCAAAGTTGCTAGGAGATACCCGAACAGAAATTTGGAGATTCAGAGGGATTTACCATACACAACCAAACATACAGGTTTACGCTGGAAAACCCGAACGACTTGGCAGATGTGTATCCTGGCATCCTGGCATCCTGGCATCCTGGCATCCTCCAAGGTTTATGCAGTGTTGAGCATCTGAGTTATGCTATGCACATAACTAGTTAACTCACCCAATCTCTGAGTCATCGGCTAACAGCATACACAGTTAACAAGGTTGCTTTTTTCGCCGGTCAGCACGCTGGGCGCGGGTTGATGACAGACACTGCCCCAAGGTGTCACAACGTCAACATGGAATCCAACATGACTAGTTCGGAACGACAAAAATCCAACAAAGAGGGAGATCTTAAAGCTGAAACAAAGCAAAAGGATGGAGAAAATTCATTTAAAAACTGCAAAAAGAGTGGTTTCGGATCCGCAGTGTAAATACGATTCGATCTGGGTTTCAAATCGCCCGGAAACGATTGTGTTTCACTTCCGTTCGTCTCTGGTCCCTCGGATCTTGTTGGCTTCCAATTCCGACTCCGGTGTCTGCTAGAAAAAGGCTAAGAGAGCTCCCAAACCACCATCCTGCTATGTCCGATGCCGAGCCGCCTTTCGCGGGAGGAGCTGCACTGGAGCTTGGCACACACATCAGATTCTAACTCCAATCCCCGCCCAGGATGTGCAAGGGGGATTGATCGGGCTGATAAAACCTCGCAGAACAAGCCAGTCCAGGGGTGTTTGTTTAGGCAACTGCATAACGAGGAGCAATGGCACATCCATCTGTCCTCCGTCATATCGTCGTCGTCATCAGTCTGCAAGCACCCCTCAACTCGAGACGGTAAAAGATGGAGGAGGAAATTCAGGGACACGGGCTGCGCCTGTGCCTGCATCGTCGTACTGGATTTTCAATAACAATTATAGTAATAGACTCTACCAGATAAGATGAGATGAGATGCCTGTTGACGGAGAGTAAAAAGAGGATAGAAACAAGCATTTCGTCAAAATCAACGCTTTTCCAGAAGCTTGGTATCGAAAGTTACGGGTTTCTTCAGAGCTTCCATGTCTCGGGGTCTCTCCCTTCTGGTCCCAGGTACTGGCCCCAACGGGCTGTTGCTGCTTGCATGGGGCACATCCTCTTGAACAGCCCTGCCATCTGATTATCCCTTAGAACCCGAGAAGCATGGCTCCTCGTGTTCTCTGGTCCGGGCCTCCACTGCTCCAGCATGTCATCCCAAATTTCCCCATGGCCAGGTGGATCCTAGGCCCTCGGGACCAGTTTTGAACTCCAATCCGATTGGCCTTGCCTTTCAAATTCCCCCCCCCCCCAAGTTCATGTGGGGATAATTTATTTTTTTTCCTGCCCAAATATTATTCTCTCAGATATAATATATCATTCACCCGAAATTCCCTTTTTTCGTTGTCTCTTTTACATTCTTTCAATTCCTAATCTTCCTATATAGAGATACTTATAAATCTTCTCGACTACTGTCGTCCTTCTTTCCTTATGGTCTTTTCTTCCTTTCTATCGACTTCGTTATTTTTATTTTATTTTCTCTCCCACTTAAAAAGCCAACTAAAACATTATTATCCCGCACGAATAGGGCCTAATCAAGAAGTTCAGGTCCTTTCCATAGTGGTAATACATTTTACGAGTCATCATAAACCGCAAAAAAATGGAGGCGCGGGGTCGCGAAGACAGCATATGCAGCGAGGAGACTGCGCGAGATTTAGATAACCGCAAGGCAAATGACGATATCAGAGATCTAGCGAGAAAGCTAACTCGACAATCTACCCACATCTCGACTTTGGAACCACATAATCCTTTTATCAACCCAGGAGGAGACTGTTCGCTAGATCCCTCCAGTCCACACTTCAACGCCAAAGCATGGATGAAGAATCTGCTAGCGTTGCAATCCCGAGACCCCGAAAGATATCCCCGTAGGACTGCGGGGTTCGCTTTTAGAAACCTCAATGTTCACGGATTCGGAAAGCCCACAGACTATCAGAAAGATGTAGCCAACTCACTGTTGGAAGTTGGGAACATATTCCGAGCCATTTCAGGGACAGGAAAGCATCGAATTCAAATCCTCCGTGATTTTGCGGGTGTTGTTAATGACGGTGAGATGCTCGTCGTCTTGGGAAGACCAGGAAGGTAAAATTATTATATTTCGTTCTTATGTATTTGACTTTAGGGATATGAAAGTTAATAATCACTTTATAGTGGATGTTCGACATTCCTGAAAACAATTGCGGGTGAAATGAATGGCATCTATTTGGGTGACGACTCTTACATTAACTACCAAGGTATATTTGATTACCTGCGCTAAAGGGTGGTTCATATTTTATTTTTTAACATCCGTTCTACCCGTGATAGGAATTCCTGTGAAGCAAATGCACAACCAGTTTCGTGGGGAAGCTATCTATACTGCAGAGACCGACGTTCACTTTCCTCAACTAACTGTTGGGGAAACCCTTACATTTGCGGCCCGCGCAAGAGCTCCATCTAATCGAATCCCTGGCGTGACCCGTGAACAATATGCTAATCACATGCGCGATGTGGTCATGGCATCGTTCGGTCTCAGTCACACAATTAATACTAGTGTCGGAAGCGATTTGATTCGAGGTATCAGTGGTGGAGAGCGAAAACGTGTCAGCATCGCGGAAGCTGCTCTCAGTCAGGCACCCCTGCAATGTTGGGATAACAGTACTCGTGGATTGGACTCTGCAAACGCTTTGGAATTTTGCAAAACGCTCCGTCTGTCCACAGATTATATGGGAGCCACGGCCTGCGTTGCAATCTACCAGGCCTCTCAGAGTGCTTACGACGTATGTTTTCCCCTTCCACGGATTCTTGGACTGTTCTCTTTTTAACTGACAGCCGGATAGTATTTCGACAAGGTTACTGTGCTTTATGAAGGTCGTCAAATATACTTCGGACGGACAGATGAAGCAAAAAAATTCTTCATTGATATGGGATTTTTCTGCCCAGAGAGGCAGACAGATGCAGATTTCTTAACTTCTTTGACTAGCCCCGTTGAACATGTCATCAGGCCGGGCTTCGAAGGGAAGACTCCCAGAACCCCGGCTGAGTTCGAGACAGCATGGAAAAGCAGTGCAGCATACGCTAAGCTTATGCAGGACATTGATGAATACGATGCCCGATACCCAGTTGGAGGGGAATCTGTGAACAAATTTATCGAGTCCCGCAAAGCCCAACAAGCAAAGACCCAGTAAGATTTGTTCCATCGCTCCTGTTTTGCGCAGTATCTAACGTCCTATGAAGGCGAGTGAAATCTCCCTACACTCTATCCGTGAGGCAGCAGATTAAACTTTGCGTGCACCGCGGTTTCCAACGCCTGCGCCGTGACATGTCGCTGTCTTTATCTGCCCTGATTGGTAATTTCATAATGGCTTTAATTCTCGGGAGTCTCTTCTATAATCTAAATGATACAACTGAGAGTTTCTACCGCCGTGGGGCTCTCCTCTTCTTCGCTGTCTTGATGAGCGCTTTTGCTTCCTCTCTTGAGGTATGTTGTCTGTCATTCGGAATCTCTACTATTATAGTACCGAGCTGACTGACTTGACAGATTCTTACATTGTACGCGCAACGTCCCATTGTTGAGAAGCATTCCAGATATGCCCTCTACCATCCTTTCGCGGAAGCAATTGCCTCCATGCTTTGCGACTTGCCATACAAGCTTCTCAACTCCATAACGTTCAATTTGACAATTTACTTCCTGTCTAATCTTCGTCGAACACCAAAGGCTTATTTCATATTTTGGCTTTTCAGCCTTGTCACGACCTTGACCATGTCTATGGTTTTCCGCACCATTGCTTCTTATTCCCGAACATTGGCCCAGGCATTGGCGCCCGCCGCAGTTATCATTCTTGGTTTTGTTATCTACACCGGTTTCGCTATTCCTACCCGAACCATGTTGGGCTGGTCCCGGTGGATGAACTATATCAACCCTGTTGGTTATGCTTTTGAGTCTCTCATGGTGAATGAGTTCCACAACCGACAATTCCAGTGTGCGGGACTTATTCCCTCTGGTGAACAATATGATCATTATCCTCTTGAAAATAAAGTCTGCGGAACTGTTGGGTCAATTGCTGGCTCGACTAGAG